TTCACATCAAAAGGATTCTTTAGGCAATTTGTATGTTAAGTTAAAATTCTGGTATGGAAGCTTCCCAGTATGAATATATTTCTAAAAATCCTAAGTGACTTAGGTATATTACCTCCCCCAATCATACTTTTCTTTAGTAAATTATTTCTGTAGTTTCACTTTAAAAGGCCTATCCAGGATTAGTACAAGCATTACACAGATTACCTTTTTTCCACCAACAAGCAAGTATGTTCTGCTATATAGACTGAATTGCATCCTCCCAACTTACACTGTTGATGTCCTGAATTTTTGAGGAACTTCTCAACTTTTCTAAAGCAGCTTAACATTTTACATGGCTTTTCAAATTCTTAACATAAACTTGTAAGACGTTAGACTTTCCTAGAAAGAGAATTTATTGTTTCTTATCAAGCCCATTCTGTGTGCCAAATATAATTCATTTGGAGACAGAGCTTTTAGGAGATAATTACAGTTAAGTGACCTCTAAGACAGTGAGATCGATGGCTTTTTAAGGAAGAAGAAAAATCTCTACCCTAACCCCATTCCCATCCTTCAAATGACAACAAAGAGCCCTCGCCAAACCCCACTGGCCCTAAACTTCCACTCTCCAGCTTTGAGGAAATTCTGCTGTCGTGAACATCATGAACTACCAAACTGGTATCTTTAAGTACTGAGAAAGAAGAGAGCAGTAGTATAGAAACAAGATAAACCAAGTCTGTTTAAGTCTGTTAAGTCATAAGTCTGTTGCTCAAATTTGAGTCTCTGATCAGACACTAAAAAACAGAATTATTCTTCTATCTATGAATTTAGTATTTTACAATAAAGTCAAAGAAATATGGTCCAAAGAGCTCTGGAGATAAACAAACCTGAATCTGAGGCTCTGGCTGCTTCTGAGCTTTCGTATCGTGTAAGATACAAATTCTACATCCATTCTTGTAGTAGTGATGCTGCTGGATTTAAGTAACTTTATTAATAGCTGTACCTGAAAATACTATACATCCTACCAGAGCTATACCCAGTACAGTTCTAGAATGTTACAGGCACTCCAAAACTGTGACTGTGACTGTTAGTACATAAGATTCTAAAAGAATGCCAGTCAAAGGCAAACATTGACACATTGGCACATTGGCACATAGACAGTATTAGCCAAGTATTTTACTGGTAGTACGAATATGAAAATACAGAACCTTGGGCTAGTAGTATGACTTGACAGTAGAGTATCAGATCCCTTAGAACTAAAACAAAACAAAACAACAAAACATAATTTGGGGTTACTAAGGAAGACTTTTTGCTCTTTGTGTTTTTCCATAAAGCAAAGTTCTCAAGCTTATGTTTTGTGGCATCTCCTATGGTACCTCAACTCAGATATCTTTATAATCTTTACTTCTCAATTCCATCAATTTCAAAGAAGGGGGGGAGGAAACATAAGGGTGTAAAGTATTTACTAACCCACAACTACAAACAACTGACATTCCTTTCCCAAATACCTCCTTACTCTAAAAAAAATAAAAATAAAAAAAATAGGTATTCTAAAAGTTATACAATCACTCCTGCTCTAAAGTTGTATGTAAGGGCCCTAAGAGATGGCTCAGTGGTTAAGAGCACTGACTGCTCTTGTAGAGGTCCTGAGTTTAATTCACAGCAACCACATGGTGGCTCACAATCATCTGTTACTGATGTCCTCCTCTGGTATGTCTGAAGACAGCTACAGTATACTCACATATATAAAATAAAAATCTTAAAAGACTGAGTTAAAGCTGTATGTAAGATAAAATATTAAAGCAACTAATGCAACTTCTTCTTTACAGTCCAAATAGTGCCTGCCTAATTACTTTGCTTATTCCAAAACCCTGTATATCACATAAAGTTAAATAAGTTATATCTACTTATCCATATATATATTCAAGGTTTATTCTCTATAAAAAAAAAAACTATAAAATTGACATAAAAAAAAACTCAAAAAACAAACTTGGTGCACGCCTTTAATTCCAGCATTCAGGAGGCAGAGGCAGGTGGATCTCTGAGTTTGAAGCCAGCCTGGTCTACACAGTTTCCAGGACAGCAAGGGTTACACTCTGCCCTGAAAAATCAAAAATAAAACAAAAACTGAATTTGTAGCACCTACTTCTAAAATAAGTATCTGTGGAAGAGTCATATACCCAACAGCTGAAAGCATAAATGGGAAATCATGAAACTGGAAACTACCATTTGCATCCTTTCTTGGATATGCATCTTGACACTACAATCCTCCAAAATAGGATTACCTTTTAGAATTCTCTGTCTCTTCACTGTACCTGTATATATATTTTAAATTTATCATTACTATAGATTAAGGTAGTAAAACCATAAGTTTCAAAGACTAAACATATACACAGAAAGGAAACTGGAAAATCAGTTTCCTCACCTAACCAATAAGGCTGGGCATAAAACAGTTTAATAAGTGGAATTCCTGGAAGCACTCTCTGGACCCATGTGTCAAGCAAACATTACTAATGACTACATGGCATTCTTCCTCAATCCGCATCAGCAGAAATGTATCATTGCCCTTATCTGCATGTTAGCCATGACCTACTGGACTACATTAGCAAAATGCAACGTAGTTGACACCTTTAAATAAGGTCAACAGTGAAGCAAACTGCCCAAAAGTTTTGTACAACTTGTCTAAAGTTTGTATCTGAAAACAAGGGAAGCACACAAAAGCACCTTCTATATTTGATCTTCATAACCCAGTAAAGAATCACCTAGATGTATTGGGGCACAGATGTGCTCAGTTGGCAGAATGTTTGTCTAGCAAGCCCTGGGTAGACATCTCAGTACAGCATAAAGCTGCAGATGTCATCTCAAGCCTGTAATCCTAGCATTCTGGTGGTGGAGATGGGAGAATCAGAATTAAGGTCATCCTCAGTTCAGGCCAGCATAGAATACACAAGACCTGTCTCCAAAAGCTAGTAAGTAAACTATATATGGCTTTATACATACATATATACTGATTTATGTGTATACATAATATTAATACTGTGTGCATGTCCATGAAATTATATGCTTAGCTCAAGGTCACTCAATAAGCAGCTTTGGTCAAATCCTCATAACTACACTATGCCTTTTTTATATGAGGAAGTCTGAGGATCTAGTGTTACAGCAGCCAAGAGCATACAATATGGCACAAAAATATCAATTCAGAATTTTCTGAACTCTTCCTAGAAATCAGACTATAAGGAACTATTTTAATTATAACAGGTTCTGGGCTGTCGAGATGGCTCAGCAGTTCAGAGCAATGGTTGTTCTTCCAGAGGATTCAGGTTCAATTCCCAGCACCCACATGGTACCCACATGGCAGCTCACAACTGTCTGTAACTCCAAGATCTGACACTCTCACACATACATACATGTAGGTAAAACACTGATGCACATAAAATAAAAATAAATACATTCAGAAAGGGAAAAACTGCAAAAAAAATTAATAGGTTCTTCTGTTTAAAAAGAGATAAAATTTTGAGTGATCAACTAGTTTTTAAAAAGATACAATCCCATACATAATTTTCTTTTTTTTTAATAATTTATTTTTTTCAAATCGTAATTCATTCACATGGGGTTATAAACACAGAAAGGCAGGATGTGGGGAAGGGGATGACACTGGAGCGTGGGTGTTCAGGGGGAAAACAGATATCTTTCAGAACATGGTATCGGCTAGGTGAAGGTTCAGGGGACAAGTCATTATGAATCTGCCTATGATTCGCTTGTCCTTATCTAAGTTGGTATTGTCTGCCAAACCTATTTACAAGGTCTATGACTACTCAGGCTTGTAAATTTCCATGAAAGCTGCCTGTTTACAATAGCTTATAGCCATCTGTTTCAATGTTTTTCCACAGAGACCCAAGACTTGGTGTTAGTATACATGCCATACATAATTTTCAATCACAAAGAATCCTCCATGCTTTTGAAACATTACAAATGAAAAAACAGTACAGAACCAAAAACTCAACTCAAACAGATACCAGTTTGGTGTTTTTTGGTCTGTGGCTTTTCCCCCCTCGACTCGTTGGCTGTCCTTTGTAAATACTAAACTACTTGTTATTCCTGTTCACCTCTAATCAACATCCAATAAATCTATACACAGCACTTTATAGGTGGAGCATGTCTTTAGACTTTCAGGAATGCACAGTTCCCTTCTGTGTAAGAGTGCACAAGGTGACAAAAACACGCTGTTCCTAAAATTAAAGATCTGAGAGACCTTACCACAAATACTCAATTCTCTAAGATACTTATTGCTTCAGAAAGCCGACCAACTTAATGGAAATTCCTACTCAATATTCCTATTCTGGGTGGCCTGTCGAACACCAGAACTACCCTTCACATAACGTGTGTGGGGGAAGGTGGGGGGACCCATTCCATTAAAAGGTTAACTTTTGGTTCCTACAGCATCAGAGATTACCTCAGACCAAGCCACCCTACTCTCAAAGCTCTCTAAGTAACGGCTCACGCCCAAGCTGTACACACTCGCTACTGAACAACCCAAAGCCTTTCAAAGTGAAAAACTAGCTGATCCTCTTTTCTGCTCTTAAATTATTCAAAATCAGCCTACAAAGAATTACTGTAGACTGCTCAAACTCCTCAGACCTGGGGAGGATGTTCTATATTTACACTACTGGAAAAACCTCAGTGTGATTTCTCTAACTCTATAACTGGTAAGAAATATGGCAAGAAAACAGCTTTAAAAACAGAAGTTATATTTTACTTGAAACTAGAACGTCTAAGTCCAGACATAATTTACTGAGACAGTGTATGGTACTTAAGTTTTACCAAATATTTCAAACTTTAATATATTTTGTTCATAAGCTTTCAAATAGCTCTGATCGAATGTTAAAATACCCTGCCTTATTTTGTCCTTTTAATGTTTTAAGAAAACTACTGCAAGTCTGAAAAAAACTATTAGCTACTAACTTGTTTTGCAAGACCTATAGCATTAAGTCACTAAGGTACAAATCAACAGTATGTAACATTACCTGACAGAACAGCCATGTATTTTAACAGTTCCTGAATTTTCAAGACCACCAGTAGCTTAGGAAAAAATACACAAAAAATATAGCTGAAGTTTCTCAACCTGTATTTTACAAAGATTAATCTTTATTTCTATGTCATAATTACTTTTTAAACATTTAAATTGGGTTTTGTGAAATCACTCAGGAAAAGGGGTCACTTGGCAAAAACCTAACAGTAACATAAAGATCTGTCACTTAGAATCGGAAAAATTCATAGTAAGCCTAAGTAAACACTGAACAAAAAAATATACTTAAAAGTGAAACGGGACTGTGTTCAACACTGATTGGGGGCGGGGGACAGTGGATATAAAAGGTAAAGTTTCCAACAAAACTCACTTAAAATAAGGGGGAAAAATTCTAATAACAACATTTTTAGGTCAAAGAGAAGGAATTTGTAGATATTATTCAAATCTCATTCCATTACATTATAAACGTCTTGGCAACTGTCGTCCATTAATCTTTAACACAAAGGAGATTCAAATCCAAATGAACTGAAAGACTATCTCCCGAGGAAAAAATGGAGTAATTTACTTCATCCACAATTGTTTAACCTAAAAGGGAGGCCTTTAAGGATGATAACGCAAAATTCATCAGCCTTCAGTCTACGAAGTCCCCTTTCTCACTAAGTCTTGCACCAATCCAAAAGCAGGTTATGGACACAAAACAAGCTTAGGAAAGGCTTGGGGTGGGTGGTGGGTGGTCTCCAATGAATGACACACCACATCATGATCTATTCTCCTACACAACTGGAGAAGCAAAAATGAAAAACAGGACACCATATGTTTCACCGTATCAATCAAAAAGCATTTCACCACGGTACATCCAAGTCTTTCCTTTGGGGCTGAAAAAAAAATAATTGTATTGATTACAGAGGAAAGGAAACGCGGCCACTTCTGCTGCAATGCAACACAGCCTGCTACGAACCGGAGAGAAGGGCTTTCCAAACAAAACCCTCCCCCGCCCGGGCTTACAAACCTCGAACAACTTATCCCAGCCTTACATTGTCCCCCGCCAGTGGAAACCTAGTAAATTCTCTCCCTTCCCCCACCACCGAGAAATTTCACCTTTCCCTGATCCTCTGCTTTACCCCTACCAGAGGCACTTTATTCTCCGCAGAGATTTCAAACCTTTCAAACTTTCCTCGCCCCCCCCCGCCCCTTTTAATTAAACACTAGAGCTTTGTACTAAAAGTGCGGGGAATTTTTGCATATATACGGAAAATACCTGTTTCTCGGCAACAAGCACGCTGCGATTATCCAGCCCCTCCCCATCTCCGGGGTTTGTTAGCCTAGGCTGGGGGAGGGAGGGAGGTGGCATAATGAACTGAGGAAAGGAAATCCTGGGTGAAAGAAGAGCATCAGAGGGAACACGGGAGGAGCCCCCTCCCCCAAATCAGAGAGGCTGGGCAGGGCGGCTGGAGAGGAGAACCCTGAAGGGACAAAAGGGAGCGGGGAAGAGCCGGGAGAGCCGAGCCGGCGCCGCGGGCCGGGGCAGGCGGGTCCGCGCAGAGCGGTCGCGGCGCCGCGGCACAATGGCTGGCGGCCCGCGCGCCCCTCACCTCATGGTGCCGGCGGCGCCGAGGCTTCCCCGGCGCGGGAGACGCCGAGCGGAGGGTCTCTTCTCAGGCGGGGAGGCGGACGCCGCGGGGACGCGCGAGCAGAGGCGGCTCCGGCTCCGGCGGCCGGGCTACACCATCTCCGCGCGCAGAGGCGAGGCGCCGGCCCGCCGAGCGCGAGCGACCAGGGGCTGAGGAAGGGGGCGGGGGGCCGAGGCGCCGAGCGGGTCCCCGGCGGCCGCCGCCTCCTCCGCCTGCGTCGCCGCCTCCTCCCCGCCGAGCCTCGTCCACCGCCTCGGACGGGAGCCGCCGGGGCCGCGCGCCCGTCAGTCCACCCGTCCGCCCGCCGCTCCAG